CCCCCCCCGATGACGGCTCTGCGGTAGCGACGATCGACCTTAGGACCAAAAGGCGGTACCGGTTGCGGTGAAACGACCAAAAGACTACAAGACTCCAGAAAAACAATGTGTGTTGTGCCTAAAAATAAAAAGAAAAAAAGAAGATCGCGGAAGGAGACGCGCGGGGAAGACACTAAGGAGAGAGAGAGAGAGAGAGAGAGAGAGAGAGACACACACACACACATTTATACACGCATATATTCGCAGGGACACACTCACTCACTCACTCATCCACAAACACGCGTACACACACGACAGCGACGTTCCTCCGACGCGTCAGAAAAACAGCCGATATTAGCGAGAAACCACGGCGAAGCGGAAGAATTGCCGTCGCTTTTAACTGACTAAGCGCGAATTTTGTGGACATCTTCCCGGGACGAGCGCAAAACGGGCCGACGGGACGGGGAAGGATGGCTCTTCTCGACAATGCCGTTGCCGAGGAGGAAGCGACGGGGAGGCTTATCGGAAATGCTCTTTCGCGACGGAAAACGTGCGTCGATACGAAGGAAAAAGGAAACCCGGGCGACTCGGAATCGCGACGATTCGCGAGAGGGGGCTGTACGACGCGAAATCCCCTCCTTCGAAATCGCCCGGGTTTTTTTTTTCTCGCTTTCTCGTTTCGTTTCTCCCGCGGAGAACCGATCTCGCGCGCGCCGATGTGCGGTAGCGAACCAGGGAGAGGGAAGAACGACGAAAAAAAAGGAAAAAAAAAATCACGGGGGATTTCGGCGAGGGGGGGAAACTTGCGAGCGCGTGGCGTCTTGCTACGAAAAAAAAATATATAAATATATATATATAAATATATTTAAAGATATAGATATATGTATAAATCTATGTATAAATAATTAATGTGTGGCTGTGAACACATTTCATTTAGATACTGTGTATAAGGCGATAAGATTCCAAATTTGAGATGATGATAACGACGACGACGATGGTTATTACTATGAGAGCGGCCGGCACGGTCGAGTTAATTAGTAGTAGCCGTGTGCGGATCGAAAGGGAAACACGCTTCCGGGCCATTCTTTTCTTTCATTTCTGCGGAATCGCGGGCGAGCGTACATATAGAGACACACCTAACCACCCACCCACTTACCCACATACACATATACGGAGACACATATACATTCATGTTCACAGATATCGTGGGGCATGGGTTTGACCGACTACACTCTACTCTTTTTCTTTTTATTTTCTTCTTTTTTCGGCAAGAAACGTTATACGAGTAGTGCGAAAGAAGGACGCGCGGTTTCGAGAAAAGAGAGACACGGCTCACACAACGCAACTGTGCGTTGTCTCTGTGCTGAGTCTCTGTGCGACTCGAAAATGAGAATTAATACCAAGGTATGGCTTGGACACGTACGAAATTTACAACGCGTTCATATGCAAGGATAACGAATGCTTCGATGCTCTCGAAAGAATGCTCTCTCTCTCTCTCTCTCACTCTCTCTCCCGCTCGGAAATGCGTTACCGTGTTATTTCTCACCTCGCTGCAGTGTCCGTCGTGAAAACTCGAGATTGCCACCTATCGAACGGCGCGCGAAAAGATGACTTCAGATCGCGAAATTTCACTCTTCCGCAGCCTGAAATTCGCGTGCGCGCGGAATATAGGATGACAATAAAGAGGAGGAGGTTTGGGAGGTAGGATGAGGAAAGAGAAGGAGACTGATAGTGTGAGAGAGAAAGAGTGAGAGGGGGAGAGAGACAGGGGCGGATTCGCTCGTAGACTATCCTCCTCGACCATCCTGAGGAAAAGAGCGGGAGTAGCGCGGCGTGGGAGAGAGGATAGGGGTGTGGAGAAGGGATAAAAGTGGCCACGCACATCGGAGAAGGTCGTTTCCGAAGAAAGACGACGTGAACGCGTTAGTACGTAACATCACGATCGACCGATGTGTTGTTGTTCCCCGCGCAATCGACCCGGTCTCTCTCTCTCTCTTTCCCGTAGCAGCAGCAGCGGTTTGCATAACTTTCTTTATTAAGATGCCGTAATTATTTAATCCCGACGGCGTCGGCAACGGTGCATTGCTCCACGCGCACTCGCGAGTGCCTTAGCCTCCTGCGCGAGTGCGTTCCGCGTGTGTATATTACTTTTTATACATACGCGGAGGTACCGGCAACACATCGAGAAAGAGAGAGAGGGGGGAAGGGGGACGTGGTCTGCCACGCTCTTCTCCGGGTTCATCCGCGTATACACGAGTGTATGTATGTGTATACGCGCGGCACATGCCCGTATACATACGCACTATTACGCACGCGTGTACTCCTCCGTCTTGTGTATTTTTTTTTCCTTCCGCCTCTCTTACCCTTTCGTTATTATTCTCTCTCCGTTTCTTTCTTTCTCATTCCGTATGTATGTGTGCGCGCGAGTACGTGCGTGTGTCTCCGTTTACGTGCGTATCCGTATCGACTGGTGACCCCGTTAGTTAGCTCACTCGCTAACAGGCCTCGTTCGCCTCGCTCGCTCACTCTTACTTTCAGTTGGCGAGCGAAAGTAAAGGCCTAATAAAAAGCCCGCAAACTGGTTTTTCAGGTATATCGCGTGTTAATGCTAAGGAGATCCAGCCGCCGGCGCAGCCGGAGTGCCTCTATTGCCGTCGTATCGCCTATCGCTCTATTACTACTACCATCAGCATCACCGCTGTCCTCTCCGCCGTTTCCTCCCCCTCAACCTTCTCAGACGCCTTCCTCGATCGCGCCGCGGCGACCTATTCCGCGGCACTCGTCCCGTCCCTCCTCCTTGCCTCGTCTCAACTTGCGAGTTTCCGCAAACGCGAACTTTTACGAGCATCTCTTCTCCACGGGTGCGACGGTCGATGCGGCGAGCGTTGATCTATAGGGTACTCGGGACCGCGTCGTCGTCGTCGTTATTATCATCGTCGTGTCGTGACGTATTTTCGCGGTTCGTTTCGGACGCTTCGGGTAGAACGCGCCCCGTTGTGGACGAAGAAGAAAGAGAGAGAGAATATAAAAATGGCTAATATCGTTGTGAACGGCTGATTCCCGCAAGCCTTCGCCACCGCGACCAAATAGATCGTTGATGGTAAAAATCTGAATTTCGGTTCGATTCGTAATCACGATTTATGATCGTTAAAACACGCCTCGAAGCTCCCAGTGCTGGGAGCTGAGAGTCTCTCGTCAGCGAATGCTTCTCCCGGTATTTTTCGCCGACGCACGGTCGGCGAAAAAATACAGCATATTCGCCCGAGAGAGGCGTCGTGCTATCGTCGTCGATCGATATTTTCGTTGTTTTTTTACGCGCTCTATCTCGTTATTATTATCATCATGAAAACACTCGACTTTAGTTCTCGGTTTAATTTTGACAGCGGACCGCGTTCGAGGCGACACAGCGTCCGGAGCGTCGCATTGTCGTTGCGATTGGTTACGTGATTATCATTATTGTTGTTATTATTATTATTATTATTATATTATTATTATTATTATTATTACACTTTCCTTTCGGCGAGCATTCAACGAGAACCAGTAATTGTACGCGGAATGATTCAATGCGCTTACGTTGTTTCATTCTTCATGGCTGGAAAAAGTACTCGCAACGACCAGCTTGCGTCGTCGTTATCGCACACCCACGAGCGGGCCTCCTCAGCTATGAGCGCGGGGGCTTTAACAACCACTGCGAGTTAACATCGCGACGTGTCTCCCCCTCTCTTCCTCCACCGCGTCGCGCACAGTGCTCATCGATCGACGAATTAATCCGCGATGAGTCCAAGATGAATCGCCGTCGCGCGCGCGACCGACCGACCGGCTGTGGAGAATTGAGCCTCCCGCTGTCTATAGAAGGCGATGACAGAATGTGTTCAGCTCATTTTCCTTTCGTTTGCTTTCCATCATGTTTTTTTTTTTTTTTCTTTTTAAATGGCGACGCGAACGAAATCGCGACTAATGATACGATACTGACACGCGCGGGAGGCATTATCACTCGTTCCTATATTCCTTCCCCTCTCTTGAGTCACGTTTGTTTCCTTTTATCATTATTTTTTTTTTTTATGTACAATAATATATAACGAATGTTGATCTGTTGTGGCGTCTTCTTTCGGTGTTTCCGCGCTTAACAACGTTTCTCGTTGAACGTAGGAGATTTTTTTTACGTAGTTTTTACCAAATTCCGTTTTCTGCTTTCGTGCGATAAATTTTTGCGGGAGAACGGGATACATGTGATACGAAAGGAAAGAAAGAAAGAAAAAAAAAAGCAGGATTGTAACCGCGCGATACCAGAAAATAGAGTATCACACCGGAAGTGCTGGGTGGAAAGTAAAAGAGCGGTAAAGAGAGAAAGAGATGGTAATCGAAATTCGCGAGTTGAATCGGCATCGTACATTTTTAGCATCGATTTGTTTCTGTGTCAACTTTCGTCCCGACTGTTGTTGTTTTTCTCTTTTCTTTTTTTTTTTTATTTTACACGTGAGTTATAACCGTTTCGCGGTGAAGGCTGAGCGGAGAAAAAAAAAAGCTGTTGTACACGCGTTTTCGCCGTGCAAGCTTCGACTGGAGCTTTGCACTCGGGGAATGTGCGGAGGATGAATGCGTTTCTTTTTTTCCTTTTTTCATTTCCGATCGTTTTTCGTGTCGTGCAGATAGATAGGTAAATAAGAGCCATGCGTCGGTAGTCGCAAAAGAGAGAAATTCGCGCGTTCGAGCGAGATACATTTTGATCAAGTCGGCGGCGGCGAGTCGAAATTTTAGCTGTCAAGTTATCAAAGACATTTGCCGATTACGGTATTCGGCGATACGCCGACCTCGCCGCCGATTACAACTCTCACGGATCGCCGGCAGCGCGATATTGCGTCTTGCAATAATAG